TCCTGCGAAGCAACTTCAAAACGGAAAACCCTTTCGTCTAGCGGTTTTTCCGTCTTGCGAGGCATTCGTCTTGCGGGGCACCACTGTATCTTCCTTTTGCAGCTCTCAATGAGCTGGGAGATGGACATATGGAGCTAGGAGCTTCCTCTACTTGATGAAGTTGTCTTCTGACTCATGGAGGGCTAAAAAACAAGACAATGCCAATGTGGGGAGAGGAGGGTTTGGCGACAAGCTCAAACTGTCCCTCACACGACTGTTATTTCATGTACTCGTGTGGAAGGATTCTTACTGTATAGAGGACTATTATATCATGCTTGCCCTCACCTAACAATCTGAGATTACCACCTCAGTGAGGAACAGGCCTATGATTTGTTAGACCAGGGGGTGGAGGACTGTATTCTAAGGGCCACGTTCCGTTCTGGGCAGAGTTCCCAAGGGCCACATGCCAGCGCTGGGTGGGGCAGCAAATGTAAATTTTATCCTACCGATTGCATGCACCTCTACCTCTCTATCCTCCATCCAGGTGAGCAAGAGGTGTTACCAGAGTTTGAAGACACACTCCAACCAGGCCAGGCAAAAACAAAAAGGGTGCCCAGCAGGACCAGTCAGGGGTGTCATTTGAGGAGAGGGTGTGTGGTTGAGGAGGAAAGCCACAAAGAGGGCTGGAGGGCCACACTCTGCCCCTAGGCCTGAGGTTCCCCATCCCTATGAAAGACAGTTGCCGTGGATACTTTCTGTGAGACAGGAGTGAGGAGCGATGCTTCGTACGTTACTCTTGCCATTGAGGTGTTTGGGCTCTCATAACAAAGCTGGCTCCATTAGGAATCACATAGATAAATTCCCCAGAATACCTCAGGGACACAGCCTGTTTTTTTGTTTTTTTCCTGCTGGGGAGGGAGGGACACCCTGAACCACATGAATTATTTATGCTCCAGCATTTCGGGTGAAGTCACTTGATAATGTTCTGCCCTGAATAGCTAAAAAGGGGGTGACAATTGTTTCTGTTAATTATTGTCGTGTTTTGCTTGGTGATTAACATTCACGGCTGAGGAATAGGAAACACGTTTTGTCATCTGTCCCCCCACCCCCCCGAAGTCGCGCTGCGATAAGGACATGCACGGGGGCCCTGTGGAATTGTTGTTTATCACTTAATATAGAAAACGGATCAGCTGAATTACCCAAAGAGCCAGGGAATAAACAAAAGCTGGGAAAGCTGGATGCTGGGATGCTGTGATTCGACACCAACCATTCATGTCCTGCTACTGTGCAACTGGGAGGGCGGGATCGGACTTTGCTCTCCAGCCACTAGGACTGACTACTAAATCTTGCTACACAGCATACCGTCTGAAACTAATTGCTAGCTTTGTCATCGTAAGGCAGAGCTGAGAAACCTTCTCCTGTCCAAGGGCCACATTCCCTTCTGGGCAACCTTTCGGAGGCCGCAAGCCAGCATCACGAGGGGAAAGAGACAGAAAGAAATGCGTTTAGGACCACAGTGTACACAACTGCCCATTGCTTCAGCTGGTTTTCGATGTGACGTCTGACTAGATTGTTGTCAATAAATCTGAACAAGTTAATGCCACAGGGCCCCCCTAGACTGGTGGCTTTTTGTTTTGTTTTCGCAGGTGTATTCCACAAAAGATAAGAGATTGTCTATTAGGAAGCTGTTTTATAGTGAGTCAGAGTACTGGCCCCCACTTAGCTGACTGGCAGAAGATCTCCAGGATTTTGGACAGGGGTCTACCAAGATATGCCAGGGATAGAACCGGACACCTTCTTTAAAAAATAAAATAAAAATAAAAATGCTTTTCTTCTTAGAGATTGAAGAACAACATTTATACAGCAAAAGAAAACCTTAGTAGCTAAGATGCAGCACAGAATAAAGCCAAGTTACTGTAACACAGCAAAGGAAAGCAAGAGTCCCAGTTATTCTGCACAAGAAAAACAGCCCAATATCAGGAACCAAACCAGCCAAAAGACTATACATGCTGTGGTAGGAAATCCCTTGTGGTCCATCTTGTTCATATGCGTAACCAAACAGTTCCACTCCATTGTGAATTTGTCTGTGGCCTTTTCCTTTCTCCCCCTTGCCATTTTAGCTTTCATTCAAAGCCATCTGCCAAATCCTTTGGTACTATAGAGTGCTTTTCTTCTAGGAAAAAAGATACTGGTACTGCGTACCCTTGAGTACTTTCAGGAAAGAAAGAAAAACCCTAAATGCACTAGTGCTATGCCATAGGAAGCGCTCCCTCTAATCCCTTCAAAAATCTGGCAGTCACCAAACTGGCCGCTAAATATCCAACCAATGGTTTAAAGTGAACATTCCAGTTTTCACCTTGAAATAAATTCAACAGGCTAGCTCACTTGTGTTTTAGGACTGTTTTGCACGCGAAGTAGATGTTCTACCACAGAGGTCGGATCTTTCCCTTCATCTTCCATGTAGCAAGGGATGGCGTTAGCCTTACTGCTGTAGATATATTCGCTCAATGGCAGCAGGGGAATAACAATCATAAATATAATATTGCTGTTTATCATAGGGCATACTGTCCAGACTTGGATTCTGAGTCAGCCATATCTGTAATACCTAACAGATTGTCCTATTACAGTACAATCAAATATTAGGTGGTAGGGACCAGCTCAGGCCATTCTCACCTGTACTTCCGGCAATTGAAATCTTCCCCACTTAATATCAAATTGTCAGTGCCCTGTGTTGTATACAGAGATATCCCTCCATCCTGCATATTTTGACCTCAGCTGAATATCTCTCTGCCACACAGCAGGCATGCATCTGCCTTGCCTAGCGCACTTTTCTGCTAGCGCTTTTTAGATTAAATACCGCCCACATTATACCTGTGAATCTGCAAATCAAAGCAATATCAGTGTTAAAGGAAACCATTAGCACAGGGCGATGGGAAACAGCCTGCCTCAGAGAGCCAACTGCGTTACCTCCCCAAAACAAAGCAATTAACATCTGAGTTTACAGGGAAATATGTTAGCACAACAGATGTGTGCGCATGTTTTCTCGGCCCTTTGGTAAAAGGCACTGTTTTGGGGGCCAGATGTTTTCGTTCATGCCAAAGAAGAATCCAGCTGCATCAAGCTGTGAAAATTTCTTCTGATCTGTCAAAGCCTGCCATGAAAAGGAGGGGGAGGGTGGGGGAGAGAAAACGAACCTAAGTTTGAAATAGAAGCCTGTTCCCCATCGGGAATTCCTCCACCATCTGTATTTAAAAGCTTTCGACTACTTGAAGCCTTCTGCAGAAGTTTGGAATGCACTTGGTATAACACACACACATCACACACACACACACACACCACTTTCACCATTCCCTTCCCTAAAATATTACAGCAATGCTTCGATAAATGATGCAGTAGATGCGGGCTTGCCTTCCTATAGGTTTTAATTTGAAAGCCCATTTAATTTTATTTGTGAACTCGAGGGAACTACACACAAACTAGCACATCTAATTCCTGAATCCCTCCAATTGAGTAATATATTTTCACCTCTCGCCAGCTTCTTTCACAGGCCCAATTTGAATGCAATGCCAGGCAAGCTAAAATAATAACAATAATAAATTGCTTACCTGGGAAGCATTCAGTGCAGCTGCTTCACATTTTACCATGTCCTGAGCTCTGTCACGGTTCTAGCATTAGCATTCCATGGACCTGGAACCCCTGGCATGCGTTGTACCACACATGGAGCACAACTGCCCATGGTCTGATTTACACCATATCCACACCATACATTGAAAGCACAAAGAATCCTGGGCACTATAGTTTGTTAAGGAATCTTAACAAAGAATCGTAGTTCTGTGAGAAGGATTCTTTTTTTGGGGGGGGGATGTGCACATTTCCATAGTTCTGCAGCAGGTCCATAGCACACAATTTCTACACTTTTTACATATTAACATTCCACCATCTGCCCTGCTTGTTCCAGGTGTGCCTTTCAGATTTCTCCCCTCTTGCAGACTTATCTCTTTGGTGGGGAATTAAACACGAGCCACTACAAAGATGATCACAATGGAGTTTCTTAGGATGAAGGCGGGTGCCTCTGATGGACAATTTGGGTTCTACCTGGTGCTTCTAAGAAGATTTGCAGCTCAAATTATTAATCAGCACCTCACACAGCCGGTGCTGAGAGCACACTGCTGGTGCTACATGTCATCAGCTGTTAAATCTGGATTTGAGAGCAGACTCAGGAGAAAACGAGGCATGATTGCAAAAATGGACGTTTTTAAACTGGCAAAGGGAGCTGGTATTTCTTCTCTCAAAGAAGGAAATGATGGGTGGGGTAGGTGGAGAAACATACAGGGCAACTGCCCTTTGACACTCTTTTGCAAAGACCAGAAGTGTTTACTTTTCCCATGATGACAATTGCCATTTCAGAAGTTTCTGCAGGAAATGAAGAATTTAGTTATAATAACCACTTTTGCACAATGCAGCTCCTGTTAATCACACATAATCATGCTGTGAGTGCCTCAATTTGCATCGGGCTACCTGTAAGTATTACTTTAGTTGACCTTTCCATTTAATCTGTCCCTAGGAAAATCTACAGAGTTGCACTTTAAAATCAGCACCTGTGAAAGGGAGGGAAAGAGAGGGGGTGGGTGAAATCTTTCCAAGGAAGTGATGCAAGTATTTTAAGCAAACAAACCCAGAAGCTAATGTTTAACAGATAACAGACTGTGCCCAGAATACCAGGGTATCTTCCCCCTTAAGATTAGGAACAGATCAGAAGTGCAGCTCTCGTCTGCCACCTGGGGAAGGTTGATATGTATGAGGGCTCAAAGCAGGGCCTTTTCTCCACTGGCCCCTAAACCATGGGTAGGCAAACTAAGGCTCGGGGGCCGGATCTGGCCCAATCACCTTCTAAATCCGGCCCGTGGACGGTCTGGGAATCAGCGAGTTTTTACATGAGTAGAATGTGTCCTTTTATTTAAACTGCATCTCTGGGTTATTTGTGGGGCATAGGAATTCATATTTTTTTTCTTTTGTTTTTTCAAAATCTAGTCTGGCCCCCCACAAGGTCTGAGGTACAGTGGACCGACCCCCTGCTGAAAAAGTTTGCTGACCCCTGACTGTGCAGCTACTTTCTAAGAGAGACTCAACTGATTCGGACATCTGTGCTTTCAGAAAACATATTGAAGGCTCACATTAATTTGACTTTTGGGTGGGCTAGGGTGAAAGTCTACCCCCCTTTTTAGTTCTTGGAATAGCATACCCAACATTTCTCCAGTGAAAATAGGGACATCCCATTCCATAATGATAATTTTACTATTTATACCCCACACATCCTATTGGGTTGCCCCAACACTCTGGGCAGCTTCCAACATATATAAAAACACAATAAAACATTAAACATTTACAAAAACTTCCCTATACAGGATTGCCTTCAGACAGCTTGGTAGTCAAATAACTCCATACTTTCCAACATTTCTCCAATGAAAATAGGGACACCCTAAGGAAAAGTGGGACATTCCGGGATCAAATCAGAAACCAGGGCAGCTTCTCTAAATCAGGGATGTCCCTGGAAAATAGGGACACTTGGAGGATCTGGAATACCTAAACTAGCTTCCTGGTTACAGAAAAACAAAAAACGGCTAGCGCCCCCCCCCCCCCCAGCTATGGCTCTGCAAAAAGTTGAACGATGTGAGCTAGAAGAAAAGGAAGGCTTTTCAAGATATATAATCTTTTCATTAGGTAAAGGTAAAGGGACCCCTGACCATTAGGTCCAGTCGTGACCGACTCTGGGGTTGCGGCGCTCATCTCGCTTTATTCGCCGAGGGAGCCAGCGTACAGCTTCCAGGTCATGTGGCCAGCATGACTAAGCTGCTTCTGGCGAACCAGAGCAGCACACGGAAACACCGTTTACCTTCCCGCCGGAGCGGTACCTATTTATCTACTTGCACTTTGACGTGCTTTCAAACTGCTAAGTTGGCAGGAGCAGGGACCGAGCAACGGGAGCTCACCCCGTCACGGGGATTCGAACCGCCGACCTTCTGATCAGCAAGTTCTAGGCTCTGTGGTTTAACCCACAGCGCCACCCGCGTCCATTCTTTTCATTAGCTTCCTTTAATTCATAGTTTGGTGTGGTTAGGGCACTTTGTATAGGGTTGTTAGTGTTGTGCTGAACCAGAGTCTCCAATTTCTGGAAAGTTTTGTTCCCCTTTGGAAGAGGGTCCAATTTCACTACCCCATTTTCAGGGCAATTTACAATTTCTGTGGGTGTGGGGCTACAGCATATTTTATTGCTGCAAGGTGGTCATGGGTGGCACATGCATTTTTCTTTCCCAGGCAGGGATCTGTATCAAGGGGGGCGGCGAGAATACAATACTTTAAAACATACAAAAAGTTGAAATATTGAACAGATTAAAATGCACACCAACATTTCTAATCCTCTGGGCAGGCTCCGAAAACAATACAGTGAAGGCGCCTGCTTGATATCAAGTGGCAGGGAGTTCCTAGGTTTAGGCACTGCCTAAACAATCAAGTCTTTACACATGCGGAATGGGTATTATGTAGCTCCTGACGTAGTGCCAATTCCACTGATCAAAGCAGCTGAGCGGACACATGTGGGATAAAATGACAATATAGTAAGGGTTCTTAGCAGATCAGCAACCAGTGCAGATCTTTGATCACAGGTGTTATATGCTGCCAAGGCCTCACTCCTGCCAGCAATCGTGCTGTAGTTTGTTGACGGTGGGGGGAATTGCAGCCCTGTGAGGAGTAAGCTACAGTCCCCACAATTCTTTAGGGGGAAGCCCTGTGCTTTAAATGTACTTCAGACGTATAATGTGTATTCAGCCACCTCCATTGTCTCCTTTCTGCTTTCCTCTCCCCAAATTTTAGACAGAGTCACAAGGCAAATCACCAACAGCCTTGATAAAGGAGTGCTAATTTTTTCATTACAATCTTTCTCCCGAGGTTTGGCATTTTAATAATTTGTTCCGTATAAAATTTAACATGTGGGAAAACTGTTCCACGCAACCTTTCCAGATGCTCTCTTCCCCCCCTCCTACTGCTAATCATGTGAGCCCCATGGCTAAAGAAGTAGATTTAGGCCATAATTAAAACTTTATGCTCTTTTGTAGTTATATGCAACACACGATTATATTTATATGAGGAACACGCCACATTTGCAAATTCTTGTTTTACTAGGGATTGCCTTTCAAATAAGCGTTGAGCTCCATCCCTCTCTGCTCTTGATCTGTCATGAAATAGGATTCTTTTTTGCAAAGAGCAGCTGCAGTCATGTCAGAAAACACAGGATATGCTGTAAAATCTTTTTCAGCCTCCCTAGAATGGATCAAGGGCCATTGCTTATGGAACACTTTTGCAACCTCTGGTGCTAGACGCATGTAAGGGCAGACTTTCTGGGTGAGGTCAGAAAGCATTTTCAGCCTGAGGGCCACCTTTCCCTCCTGGGCAGCCTTCTGGGGGCCACATGCGATTGGTGGGTGGGGCCAAAGGCAAAAGTAAATGAAATATCTGGAAGACCACCAGCTTGGGAAAGGCCGCAAAAAGCTGTTAGTGCAAAACAGATCTACTGGGGAGAAAAGCACCACCAGACCCTATTTTGCAGGGACATGCCTGATCCGTCCCGGTTTCTGATTTGATCCCGGAATGTCCCTCTTTTCCTTAAAGGTACCCCTGCCCATACGGGCCAGTTGTGTCCGACTCTAGGGTTGTGCGCCCATCTCACTTAAGAGGCCAGGGGCCAGCGCTGTCCGGAGACACTTCCAGGTCACGTGGCCAGCGTGACGAAGCTGCTCTGGCGAGCCAGCACCAGCGCAGCACACGGAAACGCCGTTTACCTTCCCGCTATAAAGCGGTACCTATTTATCTACTTGCACTTTGGGGTGCTTTCGAACTGCTAGGTGGGCAGGAGCTGGGACCGAAAGACGGGAGCTCACCCCACTGCGGGGATTCGAACCGCCAACCATGCGATTGGCAAGTCCTAGGCACTGAGGTTTTACCCACAGCACCACCCGCATCCCCTCTTTTCCTTAGGATGTCCCTATTTTCATCGGAAAAATGTTAGAGGGTTAGCAATGTTAGCCTGTCTCTATTTTCACTGGAGAAATGTTGGAGGGCATGGAGCTATTTGACTCCCAAGCTCTCTAAAGTCAATCTTGTATAGGGAAGTCTTTGTTTTATTGTGCTTTTATACATGTTGGAAGCTGCCCACAGTGGTTGGGGCAACACAGTAAGATTTGTGGGGTATAAATAGTAAAATCATCATTATGGACTGGGGCGTCCTTATTTTCATTGGAGAAATGTGGGAGGGTATATGCACCACTGAGCAAAATGTAATTTACTTCTGTGTAAATGTGACAGGGATCATGCTGCAAGTGCTATTAGCCAATGAAATCAGGGCTGCTTCATACGTTGGGTTTTCAGTACATTTAAATGGCAGCTGCACTGCATTATTTTTTTCATGTAGACAGGAAGACATGGTGAAAAGTCTTGTACATGCCCTGGAGCTGTGCAGAGGAAGAGATCCCACACTGCATGTACACAAAGCAAGCCCTTGTCTACCATGACTTATGAAGCAGACTGAATGGACTCAGGTTAAGCACTGAAGGACAGGTAGCTGGAGCACGCTTAGATGCCAAAGCACATTAATAATAATAATAATAATAATAATTTTTATTTATACCCCGCCCTCCCCAGCCGAAGCTGGGCTCAGGGCAGCTAACAACAATCAAAATAATCCAACATTCTAAAAACCTTTCATTATAAAAATTAATTAAAATCAAATTGATGGCAACCATTAAGCAAAATTCTGTGCAGATTGCCAGAGGAGGGGGTCAGTGCTTGATTGATTCTGCTGTTCGGTTGTTTGGCTATGAGAAACTGGGTCTCCCAACACCCAAGCACAACACTTTGTGGGTGAGGCAGCATGGGCTCTCAACAAAACAGTGTGCAAATGTTTTATTTAAGGACTGTACACTTCTATATAACTAGAGAAGACAGCACAACTCCGTCGTGTCCTTTAGTATTAGGATTCTGGGTTTGTATCTGAAACATTGTGGCAATACTATGCCATATTCAGCAAAGCATCCTCCATCTAATCTACTTACACTGCACATAGACAAAATATCCTCGAGCCATTTTGGGTTCTGGTTACACACACCAGAGCACTCACATAGTTATAATGTGTCATGGAGCAGCTTTAACTTATTACTTGTGTAGATAAGTCACACTATTGAAAAGACACACGTGTGTGTGTGCGCGCGCGCACTAGGGGTAGTCAACATGATTGGCGCAAAACAGGAAAAATCTAGTTAGGGTTGATGGGAGTCAATGATGATACAACAGTTACAATGATTTGGGGGCGGGTGACCATCCCTAAAGGGTGAAAGCTAAGTTGTGAGCAAGCTCTAAACCAGGGTTTCCCAAACTTGGGTCTCCAAGTGGTTTTTTGGACTACAAATCCCATCATCCCTGACCACTGGTCCTCCTAGCTGAGGATGATGGGAGTTGTAGTCCAACAGCTGCTGCAGACCCAAGTTTGGGAAACCCTGCTCTAAACCAAGTACATGCCCATGACATTTTGTCACAAACCAGAAAATGGAGTTCCCCATCATTGCTGCCTCCACCTCCCCACTGCCGCTACAACTGTCTGAGGCAACTGGAGGCAGCCCAGAGAAGGCCAGGTGCTCTGAAGGAAGCATGGGAGGAAAAAAGGAGGCAGGAGAAGAGCCAGAAGCAGCAATAATGGCTGTGCTTTTCTAAAGCAGTGGCCACAAGCATCAAGTGCAGGAGGAAGCAAGCCGCGTGCCCTTTGGGAGCCCAGATCTGCTGCCCCTCCAAGCTGTCCCCAGCCTGCCGCCTGAGGCAACTGCCTCTCCAAAGCTAATGGGTGGGTTGCTCCTGTCTAAAGACATGTATGGCTAATAGAAATAAATTAACTAAATTACTTAATTTTTTAAAAGTGAAAAGGAAGTCATAGAGCCAAATCATATCTGAAGCCACACCTCCTGGCACCAGAAGACCTGTCCTATAATCCCATATATCTATGTGAGCAGCCTTTGTTTGCTTCGTGCTCTCTTAACAGATTAGGTAAAGGGACCCCTGACCATTAGATCCATTAGGTCCAGCCGTGGCTGACTCTGGGGTTGTGGCGCTCATATTGCTTTATTGGCTGAGGGAGCCGACGTACAGCTTCTGGGTCATGTGGCCAGCATGACTAAGCTGCTTCTGGCGAACCAGAGCAGCGCACGGAAACCCCGTTTACCTTCCCGCCGGAG